CTTGATTGACTGATTGCCCCCCCCAAGCAGTCATTGCACAAACCTCTCTACTCTCACAGTGCCTACACACGGGAACATAAATGAAAAACCTGCACGAAATTCTAATGGGGAGGAGGCCTGGGGGGCGTTACCAGCAATGACGCCATTCCGTACATGAAGAGTATCACAGCCAATGCTGGAGAAGCAGCGGTTACCTTTGGCAGTCATACGAATCATTCTCGTGGGCAGACTTGAAAAACTTCCTTATCTTTTTAAGAACTACATCCCAAATCAAATAACTTCTCTACATAGCGTACAAAACGACTTCCAGGACTCTCAAGGCCAAGTCATTTCTCACAGGAGCCTAGCGTCTTTATCCGAACGGGATTCCCGGATCGTCCCAGACAACTGGGATGATTATATGGACTCGACACCAAACGACCATCGATGACCCAGATGAGCAGGTCGACCACAATGGTCCGGTTGGAATTCAGGTTTTTCCTTAGCTTGGTGATCGCCCAGATCATTACGATAGGCCCGATTGCGGTGATCCATACTATCATGCAAAACAGGCTTGCGAACCCTTTTTAGACCATGACAAACCTACCTACTACCACAAGATATCCGATGACCCATTGATAGTGGTTGACCATCAGTTCTTTCAAGTTACCCAATGTCCACTGGATCAGGTAGGCAGCAAAACTCCAACCTCCTAACAAGATGGCATAGGCACTTCCTCTCTGGACATAGATGTACGAGATGGAAAAAGTAAAGGGTTACTAAACGAATACACACTTTGCGACTTATCTGAAGACCACTCAATTTACAATATATACCCCGTATGTAGAGCAATGAACACAACCCATGGTGAATGACTCTGACAAAAACCATAAACAGTACATCAAATGAAGTCTGACTATCATTACTGTTATTCAGAGCACATTTCAATAGGCCACTTTACAGTTGTGTACTTAGTTGCCAAGCCTTTGATTTGGAGTGAGGCTGAAGGTGACCTTGTTGTGATAGAGACTACTATCTAGTTAGCATGATAACAAAGTAATTTAAAATTTGAAAATCAGCAACGTTTGTAATTAATAACAAGGTCACCCTTAGCCTCACTCCTGTTCAAAGGCTTGGCAACCAAGCATTCAACTGTAAAAAGGGCTACTGAGTGTTGTAAAACCAAAACCAAAATAATCATCACTGCCAATCAAAGGAAAGGATAATATCACAGGAAGCCACTAAAAGGGCAAAGTAAAAATAAGCACACTGTTTGAAGGGCAAGAAAACGCTAGTGACCCTAATTTTTCATAAATAGGTGATACTGTTAAGCATGCTGCACCAAAAGTTTATCAGTCGGCATGCGTTTTATGTTTGTTCGCCACTGTAATAAAAATATTGTGAGCTTTTGCCAGGGTTTTCAGCCAGCTAAAAGCATATACTTCAGTCAATAAAACTGAGCAACAGTTCAGAAGAAAAACTATGATGTCACTATTATGTTATTAAGGAGAGCCCTTCTGAGAAGGCCTGAACATGAATAAACTCCTGGATTTGAAAATTATTAGACTCTTCGTGATAAAACTGGTTCCAGTGTAGATAAAAACTACTTCAATTGGTTCTTACCCCAGGGACAAGTCTGTGCAAAATATAAACAAGCATCAACAGGGAAGCAATGACACCAAGTGATACACCAGATGAGTAAAAGAACAAAGTATTCCTGGTGAAGATAAAACCACAACATAATACATGAATAGCCTGCTTTACAGTCATTGTCATGTCTTATAATGCAACAAGCTCTTTCCCCCACCCCCCACCCATCAAAAGGGGATTCAACCAGCCAGAGTTACAACACCATGTGCGGATGCAAGTTTAAGGCAGCTCTCTACATTTTTCAGAACTTCTGCTTTACTGACACAGCAGACACTCTTGATGAAGAAGTCTACTTTTCAGCCATTGTTTAGTCTTGCCATGCAAGGTGTGATAGACCAATAAAAAATTTTGGGTGGTCCGAACAAAAATTGGCTTCTGAAGGAGATTATTCATAAGTCATCTGTAAAAAAAAAATGTTAGAAAGATGTCCTATTATCAGTGAACAATTAATGATTATTCTTTTGACATCAGAGGTAACAAGGAAAGCTCTTGCTGACACTGCAGCACAGACTGGTTGACCAACCATGACCATGTATTTTCTTGAACAAAAGCTCATCTTTCAAACTGGCAGTCTAAATCCCACAGGTATCAACGAACGCTTTTCATTCCACTAATTTATTTGTGTTTTTCTCGTTGCCATGTTCCTACCAATCACGTAGCTCCTTTTTCTGCCTTTAAAAGCACACACAACCCACAATTCC